GCATAATGTGAAAATAAACTGTCCTTCTTTTCATGGTGAATAATCTAGAAGTGACATTCTTAATCAGACAACTGATATTCAGCAGCAAACCATAAACTTTTGTTTACTTTGGGGGTGAGAGAGATAATGGCGTGTAGCTGTGGGCCCCCCTGAAGGCTCGAGAGATGACACCTAGTGCAAACAGGCTCTTTAAGGAGCTGAGTGAATTCAATTGGCCTCCAGACCTCTTAAAACCAGATCGGGTGTTTATTTCAAATTATTTCATTCTATCGCACTTCTAATGAATAAAAATTAAGTGTCAATTACAGGCATAAATTGATGATCTTTTGCTAAAGTAATTCTGACAAATAATGAAATACAAGAGTGATTTTATAGTTTAACCTGTTGAAACATTTGACCAAGAATAATGTGGTTTATGTTGCTGGATATTAGGAAATTTGTTGAACTTGCAGGCCGATTTCCCATCAAAAATAATAATTTTTCAGTCTATACTTTGTCAGTCTATACTTAAATTAATAATATGTACGGCATCTCACTAATTTTGTTAATCGCCATTTGTTCTGTAAAAGTGTAAATGTGGTACCAGTCATGCCAAACTCTGTGTAAATTTTGTATAAATTATAAAGTGATACTCAACTTTTAAGCGAAACTTGTGCAGTTAAATGCTGAAATTTGACCTGACACTGTATAAGATAAATACACCACCCATGTTGTGTAATTGGCATTATATGCTGCTCATCTGCTGTAATTGACAGCAATTTAGATCAAATTTAAAACCTGTCCGTATGTGGTCTCATAGGCTCCGAACAATTGGCACTTAAATCATCAACGAAGGAAAAGTCTCCTCGCAAAACAGGTGCACTGGTGTATTACTGGTGATAATGGACTACCTTACACAGTAGGTCAAACGAATGCCTTCTCCTAATAAGGGGGTGAATTTTGTCTGTCAATACTACAAATTATTGGCCATGCAATTGTCCATCTGTGACAGTTGTTTAGCAGGTGTTTGCTATGGGCAGTTGGTGACAGGGGCAAACTTTGGCTGCCGGTGATTTAGCATGTGGGTCAGGTGGATGCAATGGCCTGACAGGGATAAACTAGGCTTTGGGTGTTTGGGTGTAGCTTATAGGCCAAATGAGTGTCTGCCCGTGACAAGGGTTGAGATGGACATTAGCTGCTGATTTGTGGCCTGAGCGGTCAGGGCTGGGGACAAGTTTGTCGCTCCACTCTGGCCATAATGATGATACAGCTGCAACAGGGACTGTGAGGGGGAGGAGGAGGAGGGAGAGGAGGAGAGGAGGAAGAGGAGAATGATTAGGAGGAGGAGGTGGCGGCGGCGGTGGTGGTGGTGGTCAGAGCCCGGAAAGCAGATGAAGTTCTTGGGAGAAAGACGACACTGAATGGAGGTGACACATAATTTGGGGTGGGAGTGCTGAGTTGAAAGTGTTAGTGACTAAGTGAGGCATGAGAGGAGACGTGGCCGGTCCAGGCAGGAGGAAAGAGAGACAGGCAGAAACTGAGAGAGACTGTCCATTACAGGTCAATTCAATAATTAAGTTGATTCTGAGCTAGTATCACACATGCAACTGAAATTCCTGTTAAGTATATTGATTCAGTGATGCTTGTGTTATAAACAGAAATAGGTGCAGCAGCTGACAATTGTGTCAAAATACGACTTTCACTATTTTATTCAAAGATTGTTTCACCTTATAATGGCAGGTTGATGTAGGCTGACAACCATTTACTGTGTCAGTTTTTTTGCTAAAGAAAAAGTTTGATTGTCCTTCCATGACTTTTCCAGAAGAGTAAGATGGATGTCGTGTCAAATGACTTAAGCAGTAATTATCAGAGCCCTTTCACAAGACGTCTCCACCCTGGCTGGTCTGACGGGTGGGTGGGGGTGTGTGCGTGTATAAAGGGTTAAGGCTGTTCGGCTGATGAAATGGCACTCCAGGACCTTGTGGTGGGAAAGCTGTGCCCTCCTCCCCTCCCTGTCTATGTGGCACATCCTCCTTAGATCCTCTCCACATTGTAATTAGGGGCCGGCCACTAAGAGCTAGCGCTAGCTAGTGGCAGGCAAACAGTGGGAATAGAGGGGAGTGGTGCTCGCTGGGGCACTAGGCGAACAAACAGCAACAGCAGCACGTGTCCCATAGTTCCAGGAGTGGGTGGGATGGATCGAGAGCAAACGAATGACAGTGAGTTCGCCAAGCCCTCCCAGTCAGACTCTTTTTCTCTCCCTCTTATCCACTCAGTGTTGTTCCAAGTTCTGCACTATTGTTTGCCTTGGCAGGCTGTTACAGGGAGGGGCCCCTCCGCTGGTGTTTGTGCAACCTGTTAGGGAACTTTTAGGGCCATCTGATCTTTCCTTTGCTGTTTCACTGGAGATTCTCTCACCTTTTACCCAGGCTAACACTTTTATGAACATTACGAGCGGTGTGAAACGTAACAGAAAAAGATATTGTCTGTTTCTTTGTAGAGGCAACATTAATCTGTGGAGGAAACAGCAGAATCAGTGAAAGAGGTTTTAATGTATTACCTGAGTTTATAGTACAGGATTTGCGCTTCACAGAAGGATTTATATGAAATTCAATACAGATATAATCTCTTTTCATTTCATCATTCATTATTATTTTTGAATACACGATCCTGTCAGTTTTTCTGGCCACTGTAACTTTCTCTGTCGCTTTTTTGTTCCAGTTTCCCCTCGATGAAGTTGCACAGGTCTACGGGCCTATATCCTATACCACCACCCCCTCTATAGACATTTTAATTATGTCCACACTGTATCAATGGTATGAACATAGCAACAGTTACCTAGCAACAAGATCGACAAGAATAAACTACAAATAAGATTGGTATCCAAGTTGTATGCCTGCAGGTGAACTAAGGGATTTTCTGAAATAGTTTTTTTTTTTTTCTCCTGTGGTGTGATCCACTGCAGCACAAGAAACAAAAAAGTGAGAATGTGTGTGTGTGTGTGTGTGTGTGTGTGTGTGTGTGTGTGTGTGTGTGTGTGTGTGTGTGTGTGTGTGTGGCTTCAGCCCTGGCCCATTTAGAGCCAGTCAACAATGCAGCTGTGGTGAGCGGGGCCGCTTCAAAGTATTTATCTACACATGCCTCCAGTGACCACCAAGTGTGGACGGCTAAGTTTAAGCTCTATTCATAGAAGTGAATGAATGAGCACTCTGCCAGAGGAAGTTTTATCACTGCAACTGTAAACAACAGCAGAGTGAATCAACAGGTAGGAACTCAGGCAGCTGTGGGACGGAGATTTTAAGGCCGAGAACAGCTTTGTCTGTACATTCATACGGTATCTGCCGTAACTGTGCTGTGACACAAATGAGCGAGGTGACTGCAAACTAAGCATTCTGACAGGATACGGCATCTAGAGTACAATCTGACCTCCTTTGTTGTTTTCTCCATTTCTCACCACATCCAAATCACACACTGTGTTGTTGAAATGAAGGTATCAGCTTGCTTTCTGGTGGAAGAAGACAAGGGTGGGGGTGGGGGGGTGGTGGTGGTGGACATTACCATCATCACAGAATCTCTCACGCATCTATCATCACAACCTCATTGCTTGTTTGAGTGTCAAATAGGAAAAAAAAAAAAAAAGCCAGACACCGTCTTATCAAGATGATGGGTTTCCCTAACTCGCACAGTTGCAACACGCTTCTACAAGAAATCGCGATAACACATTCAAGAATAAATATTACCAATGCGATGTTTGCTCAAAATGAGACATGCTGTATTTACCACTTGTTGTTTGCTGCACAGATGGCACACAAACAAGCATGCCTACAGTATATTTCATAAAGCTAGACTGTCACTCACTGTGTTAACAATATCAGCTTGGGTTAAGAGCCTCCCCGCTATTCAAATATCAACGCTTTTTGAAAATCCCTTCATCTGATGAATGGATGGTGATTGTTGTCAGTGACACTCCATTTCAAACTGAGGTGCAGGTGTGAGTCGAGCCGTGGGCCACTTGTCGCTCTCAGTGCACTCTTTAAATCACTAACTCAGATCCTGTTTCGTTATTGGCCTTAACATGCAAACAGGGCATGTTCAGATTAATCACTGATTAACATCACCCCGAGTTGCATCTCTCACAATGCATACATATTTAAGTCTCAGCGCTGAGCCTCTGTTTTACTGAAAGATAAGTCACTGGTGATCTTTCAAAATTACAGAAGGTAATTTAACAACACTGATCACCGTTTTTTTTAAAAGAACAGTCTTCCTTCCACCTGGAATGAAATTATTTTTCTCTCTGCACAGTAAGAGCTATTTTAAAGTCATCTCCAAATTGCGGCTTTAACTTTATAGTCCAAACTGCAATGGTAGCCTCGTGACAGATTGCCTTGTTAATTTGTTAAGTCTAATTGAGATCAAGATCTCTTCAACAAGAGAGACCACAGAGCTAATTGTACATGAAGCAAAATTCTAAAGTTTTATTATCAGATATGTTATTTTAAACGATTTTATATTTTCATACATTAAAGTGGCTTCATATTTTTTTTGTGTGTTGTACAAAATGAACAGAGGTATGTCTCAACCCCTCTCTATTTTTTTTTTTGTGGGGGGGGGGGGTTTGTAATCACATCTCAGGATATATGTTCAAAGATCTTCCTTGTTGTGTGCCAGACTCAATATTTTTTGGTCCAGACAGACCTTCAAGAGTTTAAGGATTCTCAAAATATCTTCTAAATGTTGAACAACCTTGTGGGTTTTTGAAACATTACCAGACGGTTTATCTTTTAGAAAAACAGATGCTTAGCTCTGTGATTCAATGACGCAATGCATCAAAGGCACAAACTGAGGCAGAACTTAAAAGCGCAAATAAAACGATTGAGGATTAATGGAGTTTTTGAGAGGAAAACGTGGGTTCCACAAAACTATTTTTTTCAGTTTGACCAAGTGTGATTCAAGTGCCACTAAACAGTTCAATGCTACTGTCTCCCATCTAGATAACCAACAGTGACGGAGAGAGGAGAATGGTTCATCACAGAGAGGAGGACCTGATTGGAATCCCTTTCCCGAATCACAGCAGTGATGTCCTCTGCAGCCTCAACGAGCAGCGTCGTGACGGGCTGCTCTGCGATGTCATCCTCATCGTCCGTGACCAGGAGTACCGCACCCACCGCTCCGTTCTGGCCGCCTGCAGCCAGTACTTCAAGAAGCTGTTCACAGTGGCCACCACTGATGCCAGAGATCACCATCCCACAGCGGCTGTGTACGAAATCGACTTTGTGGCGCCGGAGTGTCTCACAGCCATCCTGGAGTTCGCCTATACTTCTACTCTGACGGTGACGGCGTCCAACGTTAAAGAGATCCTGAATGCGGCTCAGATGTTGGAGATTCCCTGCATCATCAACGTTTGCCTGGAGATCATGGACAGCGGGGGTGGAGGGGGCGGAGGCGGGGGAAGGCGAGTGGTGGAGGGAGAAGAGGATGAGGAGGAAGAGGAGGATGCGGAGGAAGACGAGGAGGAGGAAGAGGAGGAGGAGGACGAAGAGGAGGACGCGGGGTCGAGGAAGGATGAGCAGGAAGAAGAGGAGGACAACGTCAGCGAGAGGTCACTGCAGTCGTCAGAGAGCAGGGGGGAGCAGACGCCTTCGGGGACGGACGATTTGCCGCCTCCGAGCACCTCCACATTCCATCAGCAGTTTGACCTGCGCAGGGAGTCGTCCCAGTCACAGTCTCCAGACAACATGAGAGGAAAACAGGTGAGTTCACTGGACATTTTGTAAGTAATCTTGTCTTGATTGTTCCTAAGTTTGAAAGGCTCACGATGCTGTCTTTATGCGGCAGGAGAGTATGGAGAGTCGAGCTCTGAAGGATTTCTCCATCGAGTCTCTCCTCCAGGAAGGGCTGTATCCCCGTATGTCAACACTGGATCGGAGGACCAACTTTTCTCCTCTCCTCCCAGGTTTCTACCCCTCCATGTGGGCTGCTGAGTTCCCGGCCTTCACCCAGCAGCTCCTGGATCCCAGCCACCATCAGCATCCCCATGCAGGAGCCTCACCGCAAACCAGGCTCCCCCACGCCTTCTCCACCTCTGCCCCACTTGAGGCCTCCAGGCCTCTTGATCTAGCTGTGAAAAGAGAGATCATAAAGGAGGAGATGAAAGAGGAAGTCCCACCCAGTCTGCTCCACGGTGACTTCCTGAAAGAGTTTGTCAGCTCGGGCCTTGGCAGCACCATGAACGCTGGGTCAGTGCCGTCAGAAAGTCACGCTCTGGGTCAGATTAAGGACGAAGCTGACTTCCGGTCGTACCTGAGCTTCTTGAGCTCCGCTTCCCACCTCGGGGCGCTCTTCCCTCCCTGGCAGCTGGAGGAGGAGAGGAAGATGAAGCCTAAAGCGTCACAGCAGTGTCCCATCTGCAACAAGGTGATCCAAGGAGCTGGGAAACTGCCTCGACACATGAGGACGCATACAGGGGAGAAACCGTACATGTGCACCATCTGTGAAGTACGATTCACCAGGTATGTGAAGTAGCACATCTAATCACATCATCAGTTCTTCACTACAAGAACTTCATATTAACACACCACATAGAGATCATGTTTAGATCTTAATGTTCCTGGTTGTTTTGACGACGAAGGTTATGTAAAACAGCACAGTTAACGGAAAAGTACCCCATGCTCTTTTGACTGAGGTTAATCTGTTTTCACCTCATCTGAATATCAAAGAGCTGAAAGTGGAAAGCCCCCTCCGCTGGTTTCTTTGCATTAGTGATATCTCACTCACCTACATCCTTCTTCTTTGGCATATTTTCCACCTGTATTTTAAAGCTGAACTTTGTCAGTGTTGTCAGTGAAGAAACTAATACATCATACTAGAGCAAATTATCTTTAAATACTGGCTTTTAAACTCAGTCACTCAAGGCACAAGATCTAAAAGGGAAATGTAATTTATGTGTTAACTTTTCAACCCACAAGATATTGTATGAACACGTGTGGCTTTGATCTTTTCTCAGACAAGACAAACTCAAGATCCACATGAGGAAGCACACGGGTGAGCGCCCGTACATCTGCCTCCACTGCAACTCCAAGTTTGTCCACAACTATGACCTGAAGAACCACCTGCGAATCCACACGGGCGTCCGTCCATACCAGTGCGAGCACTGCTACAAAAGTTTCACACGGTCTGACCACCTACATCGACACATCAAGAGGCAGAGCTGCCGAATCTCCCGCCCCCGGCGAGGACGAAAGCCAGCTGCCTGGCGGTCCACACCCACCAGCAACTTCCTGTGCCCCCCCACTGCTGCCACCAACAGGTTTGAGGAGAACGGGTTAAGCCCTGCCTACCAGGGAGTCAAGAGTCACGGACTTGGGGAGATGCTCGGCCTCAGCAATAGAGGTCTGGGATTTAAGAGTGTGGATGGTGCGGGCAGGGAGAGCAGGGAGGAACGGCGAGCAGAGGGGAAGCAACGCGCAGAGGAGGAGAAGACAGGAGAAGGGAGGCAGAGGGGAGTGTTTGCCTTTGCTCTGGCTGGAGAAGAAGTGCTTACCCGCTCTCCATTTTATGCTGCGACCTCTGACCCCTGGACCATGAGACTGGAGCGCGCTCCACCCATCTCTGAGCCGGCCAAATGAACTCCGGTCTGTAAAGGAAGACAAAAGACAAGAAAGAATATCTCTTTAATCTCTGTGTCTGTTCTGCTCCAGGAAGCTAAAGCACCTTTATAAAAAAAAAAGAAGTGAAAGAGTGAGATCAGTAAACCTTTTGAAGCCTGCTGATGTGGCAGTGGTAACAAAGACTTTTTTTATTTTTATTTTTTGGAAATTTAAATAATTTCACAGATGTCATGCTAAATAATTGTTTCAGCCCTGTGGATGTTTACAAATACTTTCATAGCATTTAAAAAGAGGCAAAAAGTTTGACACCGCCAATGAGGAAAACATATCAGGAAACTTATCTTATTTGCATTATTTATCTACAAGGTTGTCTAAACCGAGAGGCAATCAATTCAAAAACTACCACATTTCTACAATGTCCTCTGAAGCAAGATAAGATGAGGCTTTTATAGTGAAAGTATTCACATGCAAGAAAATGTAATGCTACACCAAGAGCAGAATCTGTTGTAATATGAATTGGTGATGGTAAATGTCAAACAAAAGATTACATGTGCAAACATATTCAAACACATAATGTAGAAAAAGGTTTTTATAAATGAAATATTTCTCTCTCGTAATGAAGTAGGGAAGTGGAGTAGACGTAAATAAATAAAATAACATTTTATTCAATAAATAAGCCTTTGTCCAAACAACTCCCAGTGACTTTTATTTTGGATAGCTGTGTCTAGGTGTTAAGAAGGGATCAGTGTTGTTGAAAAAGCATTAAAAATGATTTGATTACAGCAGCGTGTAGTCTGGCACATGTCCTGCAAGTACATTTGATTCCAACATGGTTATTTAATCATATTCCAAAACAAAGGAAACCCACTTGAAGTCTAACAAATCAGGATATTTGATACCACGTTATTATTCTTCCACTGCCTTGTTCTGATTTAAGTTCCTTGTCTGCACTATTGTACATAGACACAAACTTTTGGCCATGGTGGTGTTAATTACGGTCGCATTGCTGATGATGTAAAATATATATATATATATATTGTTCTTAAAAGACTTTGAGGCATCCATCCAAAGATGTGTACTTTGATATTTCACAGACTTGAATAAGACTTTGTTTTAATGTTTATGAATATGTGTCTTCAGAGGATGTATATTTCTGACTAATCAAACTGCCGCTTCAGCTATACAGTATGCTTGTGTTTTTTCTGCTGCAACAAATCAAAAGGGTTTAAGGCCCGTTTTTCATATAATGTTCATTTCTGATTTGTGTATAAAGAAGTTCAAAAATTATTTGAATTGAAATGGGAAAGTATTTTCTTGCTATTTATGCGTATTTAAATGAATGAGCCTTGGCTATATTTTGCAAATCTGTTTTATAAAGACACTAAATGTTGAACTTCGCTCTTGTCTGGGAGTATTATTACCATAAAACTACCAAGGTGCGTGTGTGTGCATGTGTGTGTGTGTACTCTTATCCCTCTTTGTGAGGATCAATTTGATATTTAAACCTTGATTGTGATGACATTTTTGGAAAGTGAGGAGATTTAGGTTGCATCTCACTTCTTCATGGTGTAGCATTAGGTGAAGACTTTGTTTTAAGGTTAAGATAAGGGTAAGGGTTTGGCATGTTGTTGAGATGGTTAGGATTCAGAGATAAATATATATATACCACTACTAGTTACCAACAATAAAATCTTCAGGATTCTACTAATAAGTATGCTTTTTAAGTTTTCTGCCTTAAAATTCTAAGTTTAAAAAATCCAGTGAATTCATGCAACTTTGTATTTTTCATAAAACTAGTGCTTCTAAGTATTTTAGTAGTACATTTACTAGTAGATACTCTGATAGCACTATTTATATACTTCTGTATACTGCTCACACCCTCAGTGGGAAACAAATACCAAGAGGTATTTACTGTGACATTTGGTTGCACAAAAGCTGAAATCCCCACTGAGGTCACCTCTGCTTTTGTGTGATCACGAATAAGTATGAAATACATATTGGTCATTAATAATCACTGATAACACACAGCTAGTGCAGGTAGACTGTTTGAGGATGAGGGAGAGAGAGATAGAGAGGGAGTTATGATGGATGAGACATATTTGCTATGCTAAATGTGTCACAGAGTCAACTAAAATATCACTAATTATTCAGTCCACTCTTTAGTTTTCAGCATAAACTCAGCAACAAAAGTTACAAAAATCACTGTTAAAAGGTGAGCAGTAATCTTTTTGGGGAAAAAAAAGAAAAAAGGTTCAGGCTAATCAGAATAGATCATATGTGAGCTACATGTGATTGTTTTCAGTTACAAAGTTAATTAAGATGACTGATACAATGGAGAAATTACACAACTCGGAGAACATGATAAGTCATGTTTTCCCTTCACATAATGTGCACATCACACAAATATATTTCAATATTTCAATTAACCCTGTACAGTAGTGTGGTTTAAAGAGATGGATTAATGGATCAATACATGATTAAACAATACCGCTGAGTCTGATCATATTGAACTTGTAGATTTCATATTTTATAGCTGTATCAATCAAATTTTTACAGCCAGATCATTCACAGCCATGTTGTTTTTTTTCTCAGCATTTAGTTTCAACACTCAACTCATTCTCTCACAAAAGCCTTTTCATGACTGTAAGTGCTAGTTTAAATGGCTGTGCTTCATACAGTTCTGGAAAGTACTCGTCTGTTTCTTTGCCCTGACCTCTAGTGGGAAATAAGAGGCACTGTATCTGACTCTGTTTTCTTTCTCCAATATTAAAAGAACCTCCAAGATGTAGATACAGACAATCTTCCGCTAATTCGTCAAGATTCATCACAGTAAGATGTCCTGATAGAAGGCTAAGGTTGGTATTATATTACTTCACTGTGAGGGAAACAAGGCAAAATAGCCCTAATATAGATCTGCTTACCCTCATCTGAGTTTTAACAGATCCATGTTTACTTTGCAGAGAATTCTGGCAAGTTAAGTACGTTCCTAATGGACCTTCATTAGCATTTTATAAAGCAACTCTAAAACGCAGATCTCAATTTATCAATGTATGTCAATCACACAGCTGATGCCCACTGTATGATTGTTGTCACTATGTCACTAAATTCCATTATTTGTAATTGTTTCGATTGAGAGACCCCTAGTGGCAGAAATTGCTTATTGCATTTGAATATTATCCACTGTAGGGCAGGGTTACTCTTTGAAAATCAAATACCAAACAACTTATCAATACAACACCCACACAAGTGAGTGAAAAGTAAAATGCAAATTGGTTTATGACCTTATGCAGCTGCTACTACTTTGTCATTGAGTCATTACTCAAATAACACATACATGTGAAAAATTACAATGCTATCATGGAATTACATTTTCATTTTCCAGTTATCATTTTCCAGGCTTCCAAACTTACAGAGGTGCTTTAATATCTAGAATGTTAGTCTGTTTGTTTGTCTGCTTTGAGAATGGAAAACTATACTATAATCATGGCTTTTCTATTTAAAGGCAAACCCATCCCTTTTTAAGGATTCATTTGTTATTCCTGTACCCCCAAACAGTTTGGTCAATATTTGTGAACATGTGGCACTGTTTCCTAAAGTTAGACACTAGGTAGACAAGGGAACATGTGAAAATGTGTGATGTTGGTCTATAACAATGAATGGGGCTCTGACGCTGTGAGGCCATGAAGTGTTTGTGTAATGTCTTGCATCAAAACGAGGGTTTGAAATCTTAAATGTGATATCAAACTTAATCTGGATGAGACCTGTGAGGTTGTATAGTACACAGCTACTGTAGATTATGGTGTCGTTAGCGAGGTAACTTATTTCCCCCAGTGGCTCAAAGTGATTTCGCTAATATAACTTCAGGAGCCTGACTGATAAAAGTAAACCTTTGACTTTTTTTTAGTTCCCGCATTTGACAATTTCACTGATGACATCTAATCAATATTTTAATGATACAGATACTTCACAGGCAGTGCACCTTGTGTTGTCTGTGGAATAGCCTGCTTTGAGGATTCTCTTTCATTCTTAGCTCTAGGAGAGAGTGATGCCTGTTTCCAAAGACAGGCTGAACTGTCCATGGGCACAGAATAACATGTGACATTTAAGCCTTTTATTTAGTCAAAATTGCTTTAAAATGAATGAACTGTTGTTTTTTTTTTAACTTTATATTTTTTCTGGGCCCCTAATGTTTGCTGGCGTACTCCTTCCTGTATGTCAATGAGAATGTGAGTACTCATGCTGGGTAAATCATGTGTCAATTTAATTTTTTTTAAAAATTTAATTTTTCTGAGGGAAGGGCTGGCATGGGCGAAGTGACAGGAAATTAATAGAATAAGAAATTCTGGCCCACCGCCAGAACTGCTGAGGCAATTATTTGTGGTGTACCTGAGGCTTAGTTGTGGGTTGTTGGACTCGGGCCAAAAGTTGGACAGAACCTCAGCCTTATCTCTTGACCCAGACTCCGACCACAACTATCGGCCTGCGCTGCGGACATAGCCTACCTCACGGCTGAGAATCTGTCGTTTCATACGTCCCATGTCAAGCCGAGCGTGGACCGATGCAATTTTGCGAGCTGGTATAGTCTCTTCGGATGGAGGGGATCCACGGTAGGACGATCTACAAAATTGTAAGGGACTAATATGAACAACATCATAAGAAATAAATCGGGGAACAAACAAACAAACAAACAAACAAACAAACAAACAAGCAAGCAAGCAAACAAACAAACAAACAAACAAACAAACGCAGAAACCGCTCTTAGCTACCTGTAGCAACCTCCAAAGTCAGCTGGACAGGAAGCGGTGCGTGCTCGGCGGCAGCAGAAAACCGAAGCTAATCACGGATACCTGCGTTTAAAGACTTCCTACATAGCTGATTGGTCAGCGATAGCAAAGGATCCCGCCACTGAGTGATGTTCTGAAGTGGATGGGGACACGAAAAAAATTATTTTAGCCACTTAAAAACATGCCCACAGAAAAAAAAGCTAATATCAATTTAAGTGTATGCTTTATTTTATTTATTTATTTATTTATTTATTTTTTTTTTACCTCTTTCTGTCGCTGTCACACAGCCCTTTCCTATGGAACTACATTTTCTTTAACCATTGAAAAACCATATTCCTACGCCAGCTAGCTTGGGCGCATGGCCCACTAGGAACAAGCTAGCCGCCTCCCCCAGCATTAGCAGTTTTATAAAGTTATATAAACAATAGGTATTTTTAAAAGCAACATTTTGACTTGTTACCACAGGAAAAGCACAAATGTTAGTAATAAGACCCAAAAATTGTTTTGTTGTTTGATTTTAAATGCTGTTGAACTGGCATACATTTCCGTCAGACAAGGGTCATGTGATACAGTTACTTTGTGTTTGGTGTACTCATAACTTTCAAGTTACTGTACTGTTATAAACTATGTTTTGTGTGCAAGCCTCTTCCAATAAATGTTTAAAATGAGTGAGCCATTTGGGATTTACAGTGTCGATCAGAAAAACACCAAATGAGGGAATGTGTTTTGGTAGAACACTGTTCATGTTCTGGAGGCCGGTGGTGGAACATCACATTACTAACACACTTTGTTTTCTTTTCCTTTTATTTGTCCCTCATACACAGTCTGAGTGGCTGTTTGAAATCATCCTGATACAGCTTCATCCCTCTGGAGGGCGCTAAAGATTTAAGTTTGGTAAGAATGGTAAGTCAAAGATGCATTTGATTCCAGACCTTCACAGTGAAATACATACACACAAATAATTTCACAGGTAATTAATAACTACTCATTAATAGGAAGCATCATGAATGAGTCACAAAAACAATCATTTGCAGTAGGAATGTTCCTTTGTTTTCTTATTAAGTTCTGTTTGGATAATATAAAGTTAAAGATAAAGAGACTGCGGTCAGAGCTTTTTATGATATGCACATACAACACAAACCACATCCTTTCATCGGTGGAAGAGACGGTCTGCAGCAGCTGCTTCCTGATGGTTTCATATATTTCTTTGCACAAAGTTTA